GAGAGGTGGGCAGGATGGAGGGAGGTCTGGTACCGGTGGGAGTGGAGGGTGGTGCCCTGAGAGAGGGCGGACTGCACCTGTGACATCGCTGCCCCTGAGGCTGTGGCTGGACCGTGAGTGCCTGTGAGGCGTGGCGGGATGAGCCAAGGACCAAGGGTCCAATCTGGGCCGTTGGTCCTGAATTTCTCATTTTTCATTCCTTGACCTTGGAGAGGTGTCTTTCTCGTAGAATGGGATAGTTTCCCTAACCCTGCTCTTTCTTTGCCCTCCTCATCGGATTGTGGAGGTCAGATAGAGCACTATGATTGAAAGTGCTTTATGATTGCAAATCGAGTGCGTATTATTATTTAAGCGTCTGACTGCCTCAAAAGGTGGTGTTCCGAGAAGGTGCAGTGGCAGGAAAGGGCAGTGAACGATTGTTAGTGGGCAGAGAACTAAATCCAGGATTGCTTCCGAAGAGAAAGACATGTCAGAAGACATACCAACTCTTGGAAGATATGCTTGGAGCTGGGATGGGCGTGTGTGTGTGTGTGTGTGTGTGTGTGTGTGTGTGTGTGTGTGTGTGTAAAAGGTATAACCCCAGGATTAAGGGAGCCAGCCAGCTTCTGTTACAACAACAACGAAGGTGGGAAGAAGACAGGTTTTAGTAAGACCTGAGTTTGGAATCCTTTACAGTTACTTACTGTGTGTAGTCTTGAGAAAAAACAAAGAAACAAAAAAAAATAAACTTCAGTGCTCACAGCCTTATCCAAAACAAGCAAAGATTTAATGAGTTCACTAATGAAGTGCGTTGCTCAGGGCTAGGCACTATGTGGATTAATGATAAAAGCCATCTTCTTTTCTCCCAGCAATGTGTGAAGAGACTCAGCACTGTATGCTAGCACTGAGTGGAGAGGGGTTGTCCATTCAACTTTCTGAAAGATGGAAAGAGAGCATCTCCTGGTTAGGAACCAGGGTGACTTGCACAAGTGCCTGCTGATAGGAGAAGCTAAAGTCAGACTGACCTGGTCTTTGACCTTGTATGTTCTCAAACTTGATTTATCACTTATCTGCAAGGTGAACAGGTTCTGGAAGATCTAAGGCCAACCTAACTTCTCTCTAAAGAGAGAGTATACACTGGACATGGTAGCATGCATCTCTTAGTGGCCTAAGAGATGGCTGAGAGGCTGCTGCTCTTTCAGATGACAGGAGTTGAGTTCTCATTACCCATGTTTGTCAGCTTACAACTGTTTGTAACTGGCGCTGTGGGGGTTAAACACCCTCTTCTGGTCTCCATGGGCACCTGCATGCATGAGCACATGTGCACACACACACACACACACACACACACACACACACACACACACAAATAATAATAATAATAGCATCTTTAAGTGAAAAAAAATAGATGGTCTAGGAATTCTGGTACAACCTGGACAACAGATCCAGATCCTGCTCAAAAGGAAAAAGGTGTGTGTGTGTATAAGTGTAAGAATGTGAGTTTAGTGGTAAGACCATCCAAATACATTTTTATAAATGTATAAATAAAAACTATTTTATTTTTTTATGTACATGAGTGTTTTGCTTGCATATATGTTCTGTACACCATATATGTGCCTGCTGCTTACAGAGGTCCAAAGAGGCATCATTAGATTCCCTTGGACCTGGAATCATGTGAACTTCCATATGAGTGCAGGGAATTAACACAAATGTTCTGGAAGAGCATCCAGTGCTTGGAACAGCTGAGCCATCTGTCCAACCCCTCACTTTATTATTTTATGTTATTTTTAGCTATATGTTATGGTGGGCATGTGGAGGTCGCCAGATAAATTGCAGGAGTCACTTCTCTTCTTTTCAACCGTGTGAGTTGTCAGGCTTGGCTGCATGGGTCTTTATGAACTGCCTGTCCTGCCCCTTTTGGTGGAGACAGTATCTCACAAAGCTCTGACTTTCCTGAACTCCTGAAGTAGACCGAGCTGGCCTTTAACTCTCAGCTCCGCCTGCTTCTGCTTCCCAAGTGCTGGAGTTGACAGTGTGTGCCATTACACAAGTATGACTGTGGGGCAGGTCAGTCAGTCCCACAAGCTGATTCTCTCTTGAAAAAAAAAAATCCAAAATGCAGAACAGTACTTGGTTGGAGTGTTTGGAAGGTCAATATAATGACATGAATAAAAGCCAGCCTATGGAGGGGCTAGAAAAATGGCTCAGTTGTTAAGAGCACTCGATGCTTTTCTGGAGGACCCAGGTTCAAGTCCCAGCACCCACATGATGCTCACAACTGTCTGTAACTCCAGTTCCAGGAGATCCGATGCCCACTTCTCACCTCCATGGGCACTGCATGCACACAGATCTACCCACACACAAAACACTAATGCACACAAAATAAAAATAAATAAACCTTGCCCCCCCAAAAGCATGTTTACATTTGTTTAGAGAAGTGGAGAGGGAGGAACTAAGTCAAAACTTGTGGGGGCTGGTTTGCCACTCACCATGTGGGTTCTAGGCTCAGGTTGTCAGGCTTGGTGGCAAGAGTCTCTACCTACATGCTACTTGCTAGCCTGAACTGGGTAGTTTCTTAAATTTATTTTATATGTATGAGTGTTTTGCTTGCATATATGTCCATGTGCCACTTGGATGATGTGCCTAAGGAGGCCAGAAGAAGGCATCAGAACTCCTGGGGCTAGAGGTATAGATGTTTATGAGCCACCATGTGGGTGCTGGTAATCCAACCCAGGTCTTCTGGAAGAGCAGTCCCAGCCCTTAACCACTGAGCCAGCTCTCCATTTCCTGAACTGGGTGATTCTAAAGTTGTCCTTTCATCTTTAGCAGTAGTAGCTTTGTTTCTCATTCAGCAAACTGCAAAGTGCACTTTGAGCTCAACTTGTTTCTTATTGTTCATTAGTCACAAAAACATGGAAAGGCAGGTAAGATGTTGGATTAAGACATACTCGATAAACATAAAAACAGACAAAGCAAATAACAAACATTGAAAAGAATATTAAGGAAGCCCTGGATATAGGTCAGTGGTAGAGTATGTGTGTTTGGTAGGACACTTGCTTATGAACAAGGCCCTGGGTTTGATTGCCAGTAACCAAATCAATACAAAACAAGACCTTCAAATTCCTTAATTGTAACCTTGTTGGTTTTGTTTCTTGTCATAATTGCTTGAGTTATAGAGACCACAGAATAATTTAAAAGTTAACTGACACTGCCTTAGAGTCCCTAAATCCACCTATGTTGGAAAGCATTTAGAAATACTGACTGTGTTTAACAGTCACTTTGTACAGAAGAGTTAATAGCATGGAGGCAAGGCTTCTGCCTTTGCAGGCCTTGCTTGTGCAGTTGGCCCGTGGCTGGCAGCTGAGATTTTTGGCATTTGAATTGTTCCTCTATTTCCTACTTGATGAGTGTGATTCATTGTGCCTGAAGTCTTTGTGTGTAGTGTATGATTTATGTAACAGATCTCCTTTTCTTCTGGGATCTGTTTGTTACCTGCTAGGCAGGTGGTGTCTGTGTGACTAATTAGAAAAATCTTTAGGTGCCAGCCCTTACTGAACATCCACACACACACACACATGCACATGTTTACATTAAATTTTTATTCTTTTTAAAGACTTCTATTTAATGT